TCATCTTGGTTTCCTGACAAACAACAGAGGGCGGTATTCAACAACACTACAAGACCCTCTGCACCAAGGCAGTGAAGCAGAATTGTTCGTTTCCTCTCTGACGAAAATTCGTCTTCACCTATAGCAAGCAGGTAGTTTGCTTCCAAAGAACGGCCAGCTCTCCCGTTTCTTGTAGAAAAGGGGAGGGTTGAGTTGAGGAGCTTGCAGTCGCCATGGGTGTGGTCGTCAACCTCGTCGCCAAATATTGTATCGGATGTTCGAACTCAATAGAAAGGAATGAGCACAATTCAACAAACAGAATGACAGGAACGCAGAGACCTAGTCTGCTGGGTGGAACTAAACTCAACAAAATTTAATCATTTACACTTCTTCTTTTATACACTTGGACTGGCCGCCAACGCGGACCGATATATGCAGAATAGTGCCAAAATAACATAACAGTGGATATCACATCACAACGTTCCTTACCTGTCCCTCGTTAATGAGCAGTGCTCCATGGAATCATTCAATTTTTTTTCTTAGAACACGGTGGCTTATGAATTTTGAAAGTTGTTTTATCAGTGGTCTTTTATATTAATGAATAAGCAAAGCAGTGATGGGTTGTTCCTAGCTTGAAAGGACCTGAGTGGACGGGGCAGTCTACAGCCTACAGGCACGGAGATGGCTGTGGGGACCGATCTGTGCGATGCAGACCTTTCAGCACTTTGGACAGGAAAGGCCTTGGGTTGAGGGAGTCTCAGATGTAGCCAGCTTCTTATTACGCCTCTTCCTTTTGTCCTCAGCAGCTGTTCGCGCGTCAGTTTCGAATTTCTGGCTGTCTGTGATGAGACAGTGGCACCAGCCCACTCTGTCAAGAGCTTCCTGGTGTCATGGTTGGTGATGATGCCAGCTAGAGCAAGCTGCATCTTGAGCTGATCCTTGAAGTGCTTCTTTCTGGCACCTCGATATTGCTTACCCTCACGAAGTTTCCTAAGGAAGATAGCCTTCGTTGGACGGGAGTTCTCCATTCTTGCGACATTCATTACCTGCCCATCGCAGCAAGTGCTTCAGTACCATAGCCTAGATGCTTGGAAGATGTGCTCTCTGTGGCACTTCCTCATTTGAAACATTATCCTGCCACTTGATGTTTAGGATGGTGCGTAGACAGCATTGGTGTCAAAGGCCAAAGGCCATTGCTGACTTCGCAACTGACTGTGTGCTGAGTGTGTCGTCTGTGTGAGCAACCAAGTTATCTTAGTTATCAGCCAACAGGAGCTCTAGGACTGGCTGCTCCAAAGTCTTCGTAGGTGTCGTCTACAATATTGATTTTCACGTTGACTGCCACGCACGATTTGAAGGGCGTGCCAATTTGCCAAGCGCTGTACGCATGCTTGCATATTTAATAGGTACCTTTCGGGTGTCTGTTTGAACATGAGCATTTTACAGATATACGCCCTCAACACTGCCAGCAGCGTATTTGTTGTGTTCTTCGATGATGCCAGTGTATTTGATTTACATTAAAATAGCATTTCATATCCTACTGGTATACTCGTAGTGGCAGAATCTGGTTTACCTGTGACTACGAGTATACTTGTAGTCGGCAGTCAACGTGTTAACTTCACGAAGCATCATGCTGAAGAATATGGAGAACAGCGTTGGGGCCAGTATACATCCTTGTTTGACGCCATTGCAGAAAACACAAAAATAATCACTGACGCCGGGAACTGAGACAAATATCCTCAAAGCCGCGCATCCGCATGCAGTTCCTACGCTTTTTCCTTGGCAATGGCCCAAATCTGCTATTAACAACTGTTTGTTGAGTAGGCCTATAGGTTGAATATGATTGTAAAAGGCAAAATGAAGCCCGCAATTGGTTTTAAAAGGGCTTGGTTACACAGTTTTGGCGTGCTCCTCAGTAAATTTTTGTCCTGCAGCCAAACTGCCAAACCGAGCCAAAAATCATCGAACATGGCACTTTTGATCAAACCAAACTTGATGGCACTTTCGATCAATCCAAATCTGATAAAAAAAAGCAAAAACAACGAAAAACAGGTAACAGTTTGCGAGTTTGACACTGCAAACTTCGGCACACATGCGCGTTCAGACAAACGATGGCTGTGAAATGCATGTGGTGAGAATTCACTAATAATCAACAGAGAAGATGGAAGGTATGGCATTTCCGCTGCTCAACAATGCCCGAGTCTCACTACATCCGATTGTGCTTATGTATATTCAGACATTCATCATGTACGTCAATCTCCAAAAAATGCGCCTTCATGTTTCATATTAGGCCAATGATGTCACAAATAGCCGTAAAAGGCGATCTTTGATTGGATGAATGTTGACGGTACGACTCGTGCTCGATCTTAAGGCAACACGGAAAAAAGCCGATTTTGCCGGGCGGACCAGCGCTTAAGCGCGCAACCAGATTTAGTGAACGAGGTGGCCAATAAACTTGTCTCTTGTTTAATCCAGTGGTTGTATGTATACGTTGTGCTAGAATTTTCTAGATTCCTAGCAGTTGTTCCAAAATCTCAAATAACAAAATGCCGACAAAATACTGACGGAAAATCACCCCTTTGGCCATGTGTGTACGTATCCAACCATGGACCGAACCGAATCTTGGCGCTTGAAGCACTGGTAAATTTCCACCTCCTCTTTGTTGGGAGGCAGAATCCTTGTGTCTGTTTTATTTGAAATCATACAATTTCGTGTCGACTTCAAATGATGTGGTCTGAATAATTTTCAAAGTATAATTTAATGGGATATTGATGATGAATTCTAAAAACTAGCCTCACAGTTATCTCCTTCCCTTGTTGGAAGTTCCTAGCTCTAAAGAGGATTTTGTAAAATGGAGTTGCGTCATGACTCCTTTTTACAAAATCCTCTTTAGAGCTGGGGACTATGATTTGCTGATCGTATTTGTTATGAACTACTAGTGTGCAATGTCCATACTTGAATGAACCCAAACATTTTCTCTGAAAATAATGGTTTAATGCTGAATAAGACTAGGAAGAGTTACGGCTTTACAGTGAACTATAACAGAAAACAGTAGTTTAAGCCGATGTCAGTATCTTTACCCCACCCTACTAAAAAAAGGAAATCTCACAGTGCTCCCCTCAAAACGTACAATATTATAACGGAATCTTGGCATTTTATAATATATTTACCGTTAGTTTTCAGTTTTAAGGACCACGAGGGTGACGACTGGGCCACAACGCACGAAGCTATTAAAACAAATAAAGCTGCAGAAGCCAAACATAAAGTTTTTTTTTGTCGTGGACAATGAACTGCGTTTCAAACGCAAAGATACATGCATGCAGTACTAGGCAAGCATGATTGTCATAGGAAAAAACATACAGGCTGGTAAAACCATGCTGCCACTCGAAGTTCTTAGGCCTTAAGTTCTGCAGGGCTATAAATTGTTGATGTGATTAGAGAAGAAACGAACGGAAAACAGGTCTTCACCCTCGGGTGTCAAATCAATTGTTATCTAAATTGAAGTATATCTGCCACCACTGGATAAATATACAATTATCTGCAATGTCAATAACAATATTAAGCGGCAAAAAAGTCTCCGAGCTGGCTGACGCGTCAACGCGGTGGAACATGCGTGGAAGCATGGTTGCCATGTTCCTTGGATTCTTATACGTAAGTCAATGCAGTTTTTCGGACAGGGAATAGATGATCTGAAAAAGCAGCGATTGCGTGCTCAAGGGAAACTTCCGACTTAACGGGGGTTTAATGAATGATGGAATTATTTTATGGCGACAGAACGCAACTACGAAAGCGTTCGTATCCGAACGAAAACTGAAACCATAAATGTACTAATCCAGGTCTTCATACAAATTTTTTTTTAAATATCAGTAGCAATTGTGAAAAAAAATTCACGAAACGGGTTGAATTCTGTACCCGCGTCTTGCCGCCTGTCCGGGAAAACTGGTGGTCTCATTGTTGGTGGGATATGTTCGCTGATTGTTTTCGGACTTGTTATCCCAAGCAGTCTAGTGGCAGTGCGTACAAGAAATTTTACAATTTTGTTCGTACAAGCATGTAACTTTGCTGACGATCAAGGATCAATGAATCTTGTTTCCCCGCAGCGTCGAGAAATGCATTGTATATTACTGCTCTTATTTATCAATATTTGGTACAAAATTAAGCCATTACCTTCATGGACAATTGCATGCTGAAGGTAGACTGGTAGCGATTTTTGAGCTGTGAATTCGCAGAATATCTGGCGTATTCATGAGCCTGGTAATTTACTTAAGCCTTACATCCGCGGACACGCCCGGTTGTCAAGGGGTCCTTTGTTTGTCGAAGACTTATGACGTGCTCTTCGTGATTCCGCAGGATGTCCGCGGCGCAGAACGGTTGGTCAATCTCGTGATGCCGCCAGTCAGGTCTGTAAGGACTGCGTAGAGACCGATGTTCTGCTCTTTGCACTTTTCCTGTATCTGTCCTGGAAATTATGTTTGTGGTGCCTTGTTTAGCACAGAAGCCACAATGATTCTCTGGAATGTTCTCCATGGCAAATGTGGGAGTGAGACTGTTCAGGACGACGCAGGCTAGGATCTTGCCAGCAGTGGAGAGTAGCGTGATGCGTCAGTAGTTTGAGCAGTCTGTTTTCTTGTCCTTGTTCTTGTATGGGGGGTGACAACGGCATCTCTTAGGTCTTGTGGGATGGTTCTCCTCTCCCAGCAAGCAGCGAACAAGCCCTCAAGTCTGACTTGCACCAAGTCAACACCTCACTTGGAGACTTCTGCTGGGATTCTGTCACTGCCAAGTGATTTCCCAGATTACATTTCGGTAAATGCCTTCTTGATCCCGAAGAGATTTGGTGCGAAGTCAAGGTCCAGCCCACTTCTTCCTTAGGAATCAGCTCTGGCGACAAAGCGTTTGTTGCTAAAGAGGTTCTCAAGGTGCTCCTACCACACTGCATGATGGCGTTATTGTCCGCCAGGAGAGTCGAGCCGTCCAAGGAGCGCACAGTGGTGCGTGGACTTGATGGCGGGCGCCAGTCATGGTCTTGGGGACCTTGTAGAAGGAGCCAGTGTCACCTGAAACCAGCCAGATCCTGAATCCGTTCGGCAAGAGCGATACACCAGTTTTGTTTTGTTTTGTTTTTAGGATTGAGGGTAAGGGTCTTTTTTGTTGGGAGGGGTTTGAAGGTGAATGCGACTTTGCAGCAGACCAGTCTGTGGTCGGTGTAGCAGTTGGCACTTGGCATTACTCTTGAGTGTATTATGTCTTTGATGACCCGCTAGTGTGTCGGAGTGTAGTCCAGGAGGTGCCAGTGTTTGGAGCGAGGAGTTTCCAGGTGGATTTGAACCTGTCCTGCTGAGTATTGTTGATGGACGGTTCGTGTTCTGCACAAAACTCTAGCAAGAGTGGTCCATTGTTGCTGTACTTGTCTAGATCGTGTTTGCCTAGCGCTCCTCTCCACTAGTCTGATCCTGTCCTACCCTAGCATTAAAGTCCCCCAGAATGACGAGTTTGTCCTTGGGATCCACATAACGCAGAAGATTATGCAAGTTACGGAAGAAGGCCTCCTTGATGCCAGAGTCGGCATGGAAGGGTGAGGGCATAGACACTGACGATGGTGGCAAACCTGTTGTCCCGCAATGGAAGATGCATCGACATAAGGCGGTCTAAGTGGTCAGTTAGCAGCTGTGGAGTCAGCTGGCAATTGCTGTCTTGATCGTACACCAAAGAATTGTTTCTCTTCCTTTGCCTTCCCTGATCAGAGTAGTGTGTAATCTGTGACTGTTGAGCTGCGAAGCGTACTCCACTAGCAGCAGCAATGTCGACTTGCTGCCTGGCTAGTTCTATTGCAAGTAGTGCCGTGTGCCTCTCAGGGTAGTTGCTTTCCTCTGCATCCATCAATGTGTACATTCTAGTACGCAAGTTTCAGGGTTTTTTCTTTAATCTCCTTATTTTCTGACCGCTAGTAGAGATGACCGTTGGCTGCAGCTAGCTAAATGGGTTTGGTGAAACAAGCTGGGTTTAGACCACCTTGTCTAGGTCCTCCTCCATTCGGATTCAGTATAATTTGGGGTTCCAGATCATTATTTCGAGATTATTTGGCCAAAATTTTGTTTCCAGCTGTCATGTTTGTAAAATAGCCCAACTGTATAGATAGAAAATGCATGTAGTTTCACATAAAAACGTTTAGAGGCGTGAACTAAGCATGTGAATCAGAAGTGCATGTTATGTGTATTTTTGACAGGAGGCTCTGGAGTTTCTTTGTGCAACACACATTACCAGTATAATCAGTATCAGTATTTGGGGGGTTGGTTGCTTTGCTGCTGTTTATCCATGTGCTTGGTTGTTGTTTTTTTCAATTCTGGACTTTGGGTTGTAACAAGTTAACAATTATGTGATATCTTCAAGTAAACTTCAATTTTCAATTCTGATTGGTCAATCCATGGCAAAAAAAGTGTGACATATAACGGTATTGCACGGTTCATAACAAACTCTGCATAATGTGCTATTCTAACTCCACTTATTCTAGCGCCATTTTTCTGCGAAAACGAAACGTCAATGCAAAGACGGCACGTTTGCAAATTGCACTCGCAGGCCCCTGTAACAAAGATCTTTACTATGTATCAAGTTTGCGTGAAGATAAATTCGTTATCACACTCGCGTTCGTGGAACACTGAATGATGTAGTGCGTCTATGTCTCATTTACCACTTGGCCTTTAGCCTCGTGTTTATACAAGACACAGGTGCACCACGTTATAAGTTATCACACGTGTGCGAGTGGAACAAAGCCTTTTGGTATATGCGACACAGACGCACTACACTATTGTGCGTTCCACGAGCATGAGCGTGATACTGAATTTTTCTTCAGGCAAAGTTGATGCAAAGTATAGATCATGTTACAAGGGCCTATGCGCGAAAACGGACCACCTTTGATTGGTACGGTAAACTTTACAGCTGTGCGTTTGGCTTTTAGCGTAAAGAACAGCGCATTACTCGGGTTTTGAGATGGACCGTGCAACACTTAACAATTGTTGCCTGCCGTGTAGGGTTTCATGGTGTTTCGTACACCCAAGGGGCAAATGGCATTCAAGGCGAAACTTGTGACATGCTACATTATTCTGTGTTCCACGAGTGTAAGTGTGATAATGAATTTATCTTCAAGCAAACTTGACACTCTTGCCATGGATCGCCCAATCAACACTGAGAATTAAATTTTACCTGAAGATAATATTCCGTGTCCCACTCACGCTTGTGTGATAACTAATAATGGCATAAACTTGGGGTCCATTAACTCTGTTGTAGGATTGTGTTTACATGAATTTTGAATTTTACATAAAATTCCAATTTACAGCATCTCATGAATTTTTTTTCACCAAACGGTCTTTATTGCACGCCTACATAAAATTGGGTGCGCAGAATTGAAAGCTTTAGGGTGTAGAGATACTTTTTCTTACATTGCTGGCACATTCATGTCTGCACCGTCCTGTTATTAATGATAAATTGATTGATAGACATGAGGGGGCATGCTGTGGCCTAGTAGTTAAGGTTCGCAGCTTCTGAGTCGGAGGTTCGAATCCAGCTTGTGGCAGCATGTTGCAAGTCACTTTAACCCCCTGTGCTTCTCTCCACCCTGGAGTAAATGGGTACCTGTGAGGGCATATTTGTTTTTGTTGGCCGTATGCGTGTGCCTTTGGTAGGGCTGCATCAACAGGGACCTGAGATTGAAAATTCAGGAATGTTCAGTTGTGAGCCCAACGTACAGCGATAATAATGATGCCCCTTGAGCACTAAGCAGGGTGGATACGCGATATAAGAAATCGGTATTATTGTTGTTGTTATTATTAGCATCTCGTGTCCATTGGAATAAACTTTAAATGTAAATAATCACTACTCTCTCTAGTAATCACTTTTGTAATGGTATGTGGCAAAATTTCCGCTTACCGCAACATGTATGCTTTGTTTTCACTTTTGAATATGGTATCCTTAAATTGAAAGCACTTTATTTGTTTCAATTGTAATGAAGGCCGTTATTGCGCCAAACCTTGTAGTTGATATTATTTCAGAAGCTAATTTTAATTTCTTGGGTTTTTAATTTCGAATATTTGATCGTTGGCATTTGTAAAAACTAGTATCTAACATATGAGCCAAAATTGTGTGGTGGTTTTTCATGGGATTTTGTCGATATATCAAGTAGCCTACATGTATTTGTCAAGTGTTGGTCAAGTAATTTTTATAGTGTTTTTACTGTTAAAAAAAGTCATCTAACCCAGATGGTACAGGAAAGCTGCAAAGTATGGCACACACTCATTCAGGCTTTTAAATTTCAGACTGCAGAGAGCTGGTTTTGTGAAGTGAATGTAGGTAGCCTCGAGCACACGCAAATGACTGAAGTTGAATGCTTTGGCTAGTACAGTACACTGCAGTCTGCTGTATTGTTTGGAGCATTCCGGGGGATCGAGCAAGTGTTTCCCTGTTGTGGATGAAAGTATCGACGGTTTGGGTGTCTGGCATGAGTCTTTACCTGCGCGGGTCGGTTGCTTACGCGACGCTGACAAGTTACGAAAGATAGAAGAAATATGCTGCTTGTGGGCTATAACAAAGTAAAGGAAATTTAATTATTTTACTGCCATGTTTTATTTATCAGTGTATTTTTTGTGTTAATTATTTCCCCCCTGTTTGAGAAATAAGTCTGCCCCGGTACTCCAGCTTTAGACTCTTAGACATGTAAAGGAGTATTATACAAATTCAGATTTGGTCGAGTGATTTTGTTTAATGGTCTACATGTAGAGACCTGTGCATAGCCAAGGCACTGCTGTATAAACCTTCAGGGTGTGCAGTCACCATATATTCCTTTGGAATTGTGTGTGGTACTGTGTGTACCCGGGCGTGGCCCAACCTAAAAATCCAGTTCTAACAGAAACTGTAAGTCATTTAAAATTTGTTTAATATGTAAATAAGAGTGACAGGATTGCCTGGAACAAGTTCTTTGGAATATTTTTGGGACAAAAATCACAAACATCATAAGTGTGAAATTGGAATTGGCGTTTTGTAATTTAATAAGTTTTCATATGGTGTAATTCTCTCTAAGGATCGGTATGTGAGTACAGATGTTGGAAGTAATTCTCATTCTTCGAACTGGATATGGATTTATTTGTGCAAAACAATTATGCATCATTTTAATGGGCTTTTCCCACTGAGGAGCTACCCGAAGACTGGGTTCCAGGTCTTTGGTGGACCACACCTAGTGGGAGTCAAACATCCTGTGTGGATTTGTCTTGAAATATTCATGTGATAACCCGTTTACGATGTGGAGTGAGTCGGGAGCAACACCGTACTGTACCCAACTGTCTTCAATCCAGTGTGTGCCAAGTAGCTGTCTTTGTTGGACAAGTCCGGTCAACTGGCTACCAATTTACATACTTACCTGTGGCCAAGGACAGTGTCCAGATCGGCACATCATTCTGACATTCAGGTCTGCCCATTGAGCAAACAGTTATCAGGCAGGGAACATCTCTTCAGAATTACATCTGGCCAGGGACACTTAGTTCGAGCGAGTTGACTGGTTGTGGAAATCCTAGTGTAGCGCTGCTTGGCGATAGAGTCAATCTCACTATAGCCCAGTGTTAAATTTTCTTTTTTTCCTTTAATTTTTTTTGGATAGTATTAATTTTCACGATTTCTTGTAGAATTAAATAGATGTACCAATTTGGTCAACATAAACTAATGGTCCTTTGTTTTATCAACTTGTCAATTTATTTCTTCCATCATCACTGTCGTCCTCCGTGGGAAGGACAGACCCATGGTGTGACATAGGCGTTTCGATGTTCTACCCAAGTACCGAGCTACACATTGGCACTGAAATTCATAAATAACATTGCTAAGTTGCGTTTTAGATAGCGCATCTTTACGGACAACTGGAAGCATCTTACACGTAGTTAAAATTACGTATTGTTCAACCGCGCAGTAGGCATGTCTCGTTTTTTCATAACTTGCTGCTCAAAAGTGAGCGATGCTTTTCCTCTCCATGGTAACTTGATATACATGGGACATTTGGTTGGTATGTGTGAAGAAGTGACAAGGTTCACTTGGAAAGGGAGGCGTGGCTCGAAAGGGTAGCACAACTCTATGGCAGCGATTAAACTGATGAGTAGGATGGTTTAAAGAAGACACTATCTGTGTATTATACCGAGATAATTAGAAAACGGGGTTGACCAGGATACCGTAGCAATCTTGGGGAAACTGTGATTTGTGAACTGAATGGTGGAGCTGAAACCAGGGATGAAGTTTTGGAAATATATGGAACAGGAAACCGTGGTGACTGGGGAATAAACAGAAATAACTACTAATACATTCACTGGAATGCACGTACATGTGCCCACTAGACGACAACATAATTGTACATGTAACGTTGCAACTATTGTCCCCGATTAAGGCTAAGGTTTGTACTCTTAAACTCCTCTATTTTACATACAATGATCACTATGTGATCTTGAACTGTAAACACTAAAGAACATATGGCTGTACTCACAATTGTAAGTGACGCAGGGTAAGGGCAAATTTGGAGGTATTCTGATTGGAAATGTGCTTGGTAAACCTGATTTTAAAACGGAATG